GTTACATATTATCTAATGTTTACGAATTAATCAATTTATTGGTTACAATCGACTAAATAATTTGTGACCATCATCTCAACACCGCACCGCACATAGAACCACCGTCAAACACCACAACCACCACCAAGAGCCACCCCCAGCACCTCACAACAATTGGTCAACACTACTGCACACCGGCAGTGCCATCACAACTGCACCCACAACACACACACCCACCACCACCGCATCCAACCACACCACTATCTCAAAAATCACGATATCAAAATCACCACATCAAGATCACCACCACACCACCGTCTAGCTATCTCACAACATCGATCTGAAAGACTCCCCACCACCACCACCACAATATCAAGTTATCAACACCAATACAAAACAATTGCAGCAATTACCCAACACCCACATCAAACAACTGCGGCATCGTCATCTCAAAATCCCACCACCACCTACAACAACTATTGAACCTCCAAATCAAAGGCCACTCGAGGCTTAATGAGTACCGCTGCAGCGATTAAGATCTAAGCATGAGCAAAATTTGTTGTAGCGGTGCTCAGATCTAAGCATTGCCACAGCATGCATTTTAGAGTGTCACTGGGCAAATAGAGTAGATAGACCAGCGATTGATTGTTGCCGGTTCAGAGCGCCGACACCGATGAAGAAGAAGAGAAATAGGTAGAGAGAGAAAAGAAATGGGTAGAGAGAGAAATCTAAAACCTATAGAGAGGGAAAAGATATAGGATATTATTAATAATTCAATTAATACCTGATTTATTATTAAATAAACATCACACCGAATTTTTAAATTAGAAAACTTAAATATCTGCTTTATACGTAATTTCCTCATTTCATTTTTAAAACTTTAAAAAGAGTAAGCCCATAAAAATTTGACCTAGCCCACGAGCAGTCCTATACTCCATCTTATTTATGTCCTAAAGCGTACATCTATCTACAATATATTAAAAGTGGGGATGGTGGAGAAACTTTTAACTACTAAATTTACCCCTACATATTTAACTATATGCCAACTATACCCTCATAATTGAAATGCCAATTTAATTAGTATTTATTATTTGGTTTAGAATTAATATAATAAAAGGATTGAAATATTTAATTGCTATTTATCATTTTGGATTGGAATTAATATAAGGAGTGAAACTGGAATTCAATTATATCATGTTTTTCTTTACAATTTTTAATTTTCATCAACAAAGCCCTTATTACCAATTTAATTAATATTTATCATTTGATTTAGAATTAATATAAGTGGTGAAATATTTAATTGATATTTATCATTTGGGTTGGAATTAATATAAGGAGCGAAATTGAAATTCAACTATTAAAAAAAAAATTAAATCAACAGAGATTAATCTTCATGATTTACATTATATATAGTTCCTGCATTAAGTTATTATTTAATTAATATATATCAGTTGGTTTTGAATTAATATAAGGAGTTAACTGACATTCAATTACTTAAAAAAATATTAAACGAAAATTTGGTGACTTGACATTCAACTGACTATTTTGTTCTTAGAAGTTTTATGGGAAGGCTCTTGCGTGGCAAAAAAAATAATTAAAATGTGTGAGTCCAACTTTACATTAATGGCAAACATAGGTTAGACGTATTTTGATTAACAAAGTAATATTATTTATTAACTTTGGTAATTAGATAACATAGTTATATTTAATTAAATATTTTTTAAAAAATTGGCCAAATAAGGATTTAATATGAAAGTTATTATGACCATTGTAGCTAACAAAACCAACCCATTCCATCTTGATTTTCATTTCAAATTGATTTCTAATATCATGGATTTAATTGTATCACTGACTTTTAAATTTTGAATGGTGGCAACAACACATATGAATACATCATCGTCAAAATCACTAACAAAAATGAGGTTTGATTCATCAATAGATCAACAAAATAAGTCAGGTCATCAATTTAATTTGAAAAATATTAACCTTTTTCCTTTTTTTAATTGTTAATATATATTTATGTTGTCTTATCTTAAATTTATTTTCATATTTGTAGGATTAATGTCACAAAACAAATGTTTGCGATCATATTTTTATAAAACAACTAACTGCCTTTGAAGAAGAGTGGATTATAAAAGTAGTCATACTCCGAAAAGGTTCCATTGAGATTTACAACAACAAAAATGGCCATGTTGAAGTTTTAAAACTAATTTTGTGTGATGAAAAGGTATTGTATTATATTAGAATAATGTTTCTTATAGAATTTTCACTTTAGACTATTAATTTTTTTTAAATAATATTTTCAGTTAGTGAAATTCAAGCTACGTTGTTTAAGGAAACAATGGAAAAATTCTTTCCTTTGCTTGAAAAAGAAAAAACATACCGACTTCGAAATGGAAAAATAAGAGCAATCAATCCCTAATACTCAAATGTGAATAATGAAATTGAACTCACTCTCAAAATGAAGACTGAGATAGAGGAAATTGAAGACTTCATTCCTTATAACATGTCAACTTTATGTTATGTGATTTCAAAAATCTCAGACTTTGTACATGAAGGGAAATTGCTAGGTAACATATCATTATTCACGTTTATTGTGCATTCTACATTTAAATTTTAAACTAATAATTCATTTTTCTCAGACTTTGCTATGTTTATTCACGTTTCTCAAATATTTGTCCAATATACCCTCATTTGAATACCACCTTTAATTAAGTAAAAATAAAAAATCCCATATAAATTGGCCCATGCACAATGGTACTAATGTATTTCACACACATGCATCATGTCCTTTGCACTTCCCTACTAATAATGGATGTAATGAAAAGTTGTATGATATTGACAAAAAATACTGTGTACAATATATATTCTTAATTCTTTTTAATAATTTTAATTTTTTCTTTAACAATATCAATTATCTCAATTACTTTAAAAAAAATATTATTACTTCAAAAATATTACAAATATCATTCGTCGAATACATAAGACGTGCAACGCATGTGCTTACTACTAGTGATTTTTAAAAAAGAGAAATCAAAGCATTCATCTTGTTTCCTTGCCCAGTTTATTCTCCAAATCTTCTGCGATTTTCCATTCGCCACAAGCAAAGAGTTAGACAAGCTTTCAGCCATATCTATTCCTAATTGTAGAAATAAATTGCTAAGTAATTGTAGTATTCGTAATTTTGAGAATCATGTTTTTAATGAAAACTTGAGAAGTATCTATGAAGTTTTTATAAATTTTCATGGTATGAATTTTTTATTTAATTATTGAACTAAAATAATGAAAATAATATTAAAAACAAGAATCCTTTATTACGCTAAGGCTTCACCTAGGCACGCCAGACTTGAGGCTTGACTTCCATACCTTGACACGCCTTACACCTTTTAAAATCTTGACATCCACTTTTGTTAAGAAAACTTCTGTTCAAACGCGACCCGGGGGCAAGGAGTCGCTTTTGGTCTTTGATTAATTGAATGGAGATCCAACCAAGTTCAATAAATCACAAAGAACTGCATAATAATAAGATGAAACATAACAATATTTGACCAAATATGATCGTCCAGTTCCACCGTGAAGAAGAAAATTAAATAGCTCAATATGGCACAAGATAATATAATTCCACAGACTTTGCATCTGGGCATTATTGATTAAGTGAGAGAGGACTCCCACTTTCGCTCTCAAGGCAACATAATTACAATACACAATCTGCAGTTCTTCACCTCATCAAATAAATGCATGTAATGGTATCTTTTTACCCTACTTTGTGTTTTTGACTGTTTGTCATT